GATCTCTTTTTGTTTCTTGTAGTAATGTTTTGTAATTTTCTTGGAAAAGGTCCTTTGTACTTCTGGTTAAATTTATTCCCAAGTATTTAATCTTTTGATCAGCTATTGTGAAAGGTATTGTTTCTCTTAGTTCTGACTCTGTATTCTTTTTGTCATTGTAGAGAAATCCAACTGGTTTTTGTATGTTGATCTTGTATCCTGCTACTTTGCTGAATTTGTCAACTACATCCAATAGTTTTCTTGCTGAGTCTTTAGGGTTTTCTAAGTATACTATCATGTCACATCTTTCTTCTGTAGAGTTGGCCAGTGAGTATGAACTGCTGACTTTCTGTTAGCAGCCAAGTCTGTAGCCATTGTGCTACCATAGCTTCAAAATAGTGTATCTGCATGCAAGTTTATTTGGAGTTTAGATCATGCATGCAAGCTTTGTAGTTTAAGTGGGCTGGTATAATATCTAAACTTGATTCCCAAGATAAGCCTCATAAAGTGATGGATGATTCCCTTCCTATCCTCTTCCCACCCTCTCTCCTTCCCTTTCATTTTTCTTCCTACTTTCTTTCCCCTAAATGTTTCAAGAGCTGTTTTCAAATCTAAAGGATATATTGGAGAGTGACGTTGCATTGAAAGGTTTTTTAGGCCTGTACATTTAAATGTTATTTCTGGACTAAATAATCGATTAGCCTGAGAAATTGCAGCAACATCTCACAGTAGGGGTATGGAGGAAAGGCTTTTTCTCTCCCTTGTCTCATATTGTGGTTTTCCCAAGGACTCGAATTCTCTTAACTTAATATTTCCTCCCACCTCTCAGTATTATCTTTTTTTTTTTAAAAGAACTAAACCATCTCCTTTTTCGATGACCAGGTGGCATCCATATAATATCTAACACACTTCTCATCTTATGCAGGCAGTTACCCAAGGGGGATAGTGTTAAATTATAGTTCCTACTCTACAGGTCCCTGAAGTTCTCTGACATTCTTATTGTTTCCATGTTGGCAGGAGCTCCACCATATCCTGAAGTCCCTCCTACCAGCATCCTACAGTATCTCCAGAGAGGGAAAATCATGCAGCGACCGAGTAGCTGCAAACACACCATGTAAGCAAATTTAAAGTTCTGATTTTCTCTGGTCTTAAAATTTTTTTGTTCCTTCATCAATTATTTCCCTTTAAAGTAGCAATATATAGTTGTTGTTTGTTATGTGCCGTCAATTCACCTATAACACATATCAACACTATGCATAACAGCTCTAAACCTTGCTCTTTCCTGAGCCATCCTTACTGACTCTGACACAGCTACCCAGTCAGTGAGTCAATCCATCTCATCAAGGGTCTTCCCCTTTTGCTGTGTCCCTCTACCCTCCCAAGCATAATGTCCCTCTCCAAGGACTGGTCCCTCCTTGTAAAATACTCAAAGTATGATGAAGCTTCAGAATCCTTGCCTCTAAGGAGCAGCCTAGTATCACCCTCTCCAGGATGAACCTGTTTGTTCTCTTAACAGTCCATGGTATATTCAGTACTCTTCACCAGCATCACAGCTCAAAGGCATCAATTCTCCTTCTATCATTCCTAGTAATTGTCCAGCTTTCTGATGCATAGTACATAATTGTGAAAACCATGGCCTGGATCAAGCATACCTTAGTCTCCAGCCTGACATCATTGCTTTTTACTACTCTCAAGATATCCCTGACAACAGACTTTCCCAATGCAATTAATCTTTTAATTTCCTGGCTGCTGGTACCAGAAATGCTGATTGTGGAGCCAAACAAACTAAAGCTGTTAATCTCTATCTCTTCACCATCTATCATCATGCTGCTAATTGGCCCAGTGGTGAGAATCATTGTTTTCTTGACATTAACCTCAATCCATACTGAAGGCTGCAGTCCTTGACCTTCTGCAGCAAGTGCTTCAGGTCCTCCTCAGTTTCAGCAAGCAGGGTTTTGTCATCTGCATAACGCAGGTTGTTGATGAGTCTTCCCACAATCCTGATGCCACATTCTTCCCCAGAGATCCCAGTCTCCTGGATGATCTGTTCTGCATTTAGATTAAAAAGGTATGAAGATAAGACACATCCCTGGCATACACCCTTACCAATTTTAAACCATACAGTGTTTCCTTGCTCTGTTCTGATGACTGCCTGGTCCAAGGATGTTGTTGTTGTTGTTTAATGCTGTCGAGTCGTAGATGACTCATAGCTACAGCACAATCAAGTGTTCTGGGATTTATATATCACTCACACATACAATCATGTGGCAACTACTGAAATAGTGTTAGGAGTCTAGATCAATAAAGTTTAACTCATTAGGAAACTTCTGAAACAGATACTTTATGAAAGTACAATAGTGGTTTATTTATTCAAATATATTTTTTCCCCTGACAGCTTCAGTTATAAAACATCTGTCATTAAATTTATTATACAACAATCTGAAGGATCTAAACTCTCTATGAAGTCCAAAACCAAAATTATGCTTTACAATTTACACGTGGGCTCGTGCTCAATTGACATCAATGCAGAACAAAGAGAATAGTAGGATATTTATCCATTCTAAATGGTGGTTGGGGTAGTCACATCAGTTTCAAGGGCTTGGAGTCATTTTCCATTATTTCACCATACTTTGTTTTAAATGTTAATTCCCTACAGTGGGTCATAAAATCGGGTCTAGGGGAAACATTAATCATATTATTTACTATTCCTGGACCACATGGAGTATTGGGTAGGGTCAGAAGGTGAGCAAAATTTCATTGCTTTGGTCTCAACCTTGTAGAATCATTCATTGAGAGTATATAGGCTCTTATTTAATATTAGATTTTTAAAGTTTGATTGTTTTCTCATCTCTCAACACATTCAATGAAAAGATTAAGAAGACTTAAGGCAAGAGAAGGAAAGCACAATGGTATGATATGGCCAGCAGGAAGGGACAATTGGTAATTCAAGATGGTGAGGCAGGAAAAGGAATAATTTTAAATTACATACATAAGTGTACTTATAATAGAATACAGAAAAATGTTTTAGAACATAAGATAATATTGAAGTATGTATAAGAATGTAGAAGAGAATATATTGATGAACATTGTTACTAGACTTACTGCTATTTTTCACATTGTTTCACATTATAGGGAGTTAATCTTTATATTCAGTTTTCCTGATAATAAGGAGTTACTTTAATTAAATATCAGGATTAACTCCCTGCAATACTAAACAGTATGTAAAACAGCAATAATACTAATAGCAGTGATCATTGGTACATTGTTTTCTCTCTAGTTTCATACATAATACAAAATTACTATATTAAGGAATGCCAAGAAATTTGGAAGGCATCTATGTACCTGGCCAATTGACTAGAAGAGATCCGTATTTGTTCCCACTTCCAAAAAATGGTAATCCAACAGACTGTGAAAACTGTATCACAATGTAATTAATTTCAACGATTGTGAGAAAAATGGCTTAAACAGTACATTGACAGAGAACTGGCAGAAATTCAAACGATTCAGAAGAGGCTGTGATAGAAGAGATATCATTGCTGATGTCAGACAGATCTTGACAGAAAGCAGAGATTATCAGAAATGTGTTTATACGTGTCTTATTGACTACACAAAGTCATTTGACTGTGTGGATCATAAAACAAATGGACTAACATTGAGAAAAATGGGAATTCTAGAACACTTAATTGTGCTCATGTTGTTGTTGTGTGCCATCAGGTTGGAATTAACTCTAGCTGACCCTCCACTGGATTTTTAAAGGCAGTAATCACACGGGAGGAGATTGTCCCTCTTTCTCTGGTGGCACAACTGGTGAATTTGAATTATGAGCCTTTGGAATTGTAGCACAGATTCTTACCAGCAGGCCACCAGAGCTCCCGTGAAGACCATATATTTCTAGACCAAGAAACAAGTGTCTGAACAGAGCAAGGGAACACTGTATGGCTTAAAATCAGGAAAGAGCGAATCCACCAGATGCCCTGCTGGAGAAGGAGGGGCAATCTCCTCCTGGACTAGTCAGATCTGATTTGATGGTACACACACCAAAAAAATTAAAAAAAAATTTTTTTTTAAAAAAGTGAAATCAGGAAAGACATGTGTCAGGGTTATATCCTTTTTTTTCATACCTATTAAATCCGTATTTCAGCAAATCATTCAAGAAACTGGATTCTATGACAAAGAATGTGGCATCAGGTTTGGAGGTAGACTCATCAACAACCTGCATTAAGCAGATTAAGCAACCTTCCTTGCTGAAAGTGGAGAGGTCTTGAAGCACTTGCTGCAGAAAATCATAGAACTACAGCCTTCTTTATGGATTACATCTCAATATCAAGAACAAAAATCTCGCATTTGGAATGATAGGCAAAAGTATGATAAATGAGAAAAGATGGAAATTGTGAATGATTTTATCTTGGTTGGATCCACAATCACAGCCTTGGTTGTTCATGATATTGAGAGAGACACATATCCGACTGAAGGGAGATTGGAAACATAAAAAATATAAAATGTGAGGTGATGTAGCAAAATAGTAAAAAGTTCAGTCATATTCTGGTGACAAAAAAGCATAAATTTAGTCCTCACCTTGCTACTTATTCTCTCTTTTGTCTTGAACAAAATATTTTTCTTTATATTGTTTGTCTCCAAATGGGCATAATGATAATTCAAGCAAAAGGTTATTGGGAGCATTCTCCTCCCGTGTGACTTACAGCCTCTGCAAAACCACTGACTGGTCAGCTATGAGTAGTTCCAAGATGACGGCACCTAACAATAACAACACTGTGACTTATCTATAATAATTTATTGCTAAATGTTGGCAGTATTATTAATGCAATATCACTTACAAAGTTGGTGTAACATCTATGAATGTAGGAAATGGAGCTGACTGAGGTTTATTAGGGAGAAATTCACAGAATTAGCTCAAGAACAAGTAATTGCATGACGTCTAGCCCCATTTAGGTAGTGCAAATGATTATCACTTAAAGGGGGAACATCTGGTGTGAAAAGCAAAGTATACAAACTTTGTAAGTAAACCACTTTAAAATTAATTTTTTTTTAAAAGTTGGAGATTTGAGTTTACCCACCAGTGCTACTTCAGAAAACTCAATCATTTAAAACCCTAAAGAGAAGAATTCTAATCTGACACACATAGGAGTCATTATGTGCATTGACATGAAAAAACACCATGGGTTTGCATTGATTTGACAGCTCCCTTCCTTCCCACCCCCTCCCAAGAGGTAGAGAATGCAGAGGGTAGAATATAAGCTTTATATGGTTGAAAAGCAGTAGGAAATCACTGTAGGTCATTGAGCACACAGGGACGTGATAAAAAAGTGTGTGGAGCCAGATGGCATTAAAAATTCTACATAGACTAAACTGATTAAAAGATGGCAAGCATGTTTGACTTAATTAATACAATTTTCTGGAGCACTTAGACTTAAAGCTAACTTTTATTATTATTTTTTTTGTTATTTTTTTTGTGTGTGCGTGTACCGTCAAATCAGATCTGACTGGTATAGGAGGAGATTGTCCCTCCTTCCCCGGCAGAGCATCTGGTGGGTTCGAACCTTGCGCCTCTGGGATTGTAGTTGCAGTTCCTTGCCACTAGGCCACCAGAGCTCCCCTAAAGCTAACTTTTAAATGAGAGAAATCGCCTACATGAGTGGAAGGAAGCTTCTGATTACATTATCTGAAATTGGCCTGGATTATATTATTCTACAACTTTCAATAGTTGTCTTGAATACTGTAATTTAATAACTGTAAAATAATAACACTTAACTTCTGAAAGAGTGATTAACAGTAGGATGAAAACCTATTATATCATTCTGGTTTTAATTAGAAAAATCTTGAGTAATGCTTTTTAGGAGGGGAGCTCTGGTAGCTTAGGTCCACTCCCTAGCCTAGGAAGTTGGGTTACTAACCTAAAAGTGAGTAATTTGAATCTACCATGTGCCCTGAGGGAGAAAGACTGATAAACTCCATGTGATTTATAGCCACTGAGAAAGACATCTTATTTAATCAAAATGAGCTTTTAACTATTATGTTAGCTAAGTTCTGCTGTATTCTATAGGGCCAATATGAGTGAATTCAAGGACAATAAATTTTGGGGTTTGTGTGTTATTAAGATGATTCTGACAAGAGATTTGAAGATAAGAAGGAATGATATTAGAATATGGGAGAGCAAAGAGAAATAAGTGAAAGAATTGGAATTGCAAGATTTTTATGTTTGTTTGTTTTTTTTAAGGTTTGTTGGGAGAGGAGAAATGTTGCTCATACATGCAACTTGTCAAATCATTTTCTCTGGTTTTCCTTTCAGGTATAATCTTATGAAGGCATGCTGGCGCTGGAATGAGAACAGCCGTCCCTTACTTAAAGAGCTACGCTCACGCCTAGAAACTGCCTCTCGAACTGCAGATGACAAGGCTGTGCTGCAAGTACCAGAATTAGTGGTACCTGAACTATATGCAGTTGTGGCTGGCATCAGTGTGGAAAACCTCCCCTATAACTACACCTTCCTTTGAGGACCTCCAAGCAAGAAATATTTATGTGTGACCACATGCTCTTGGAAGTGATTCTGCCAAGAACTTAGAGTGGACTTTCTGATGGATCATGAAGGGAGAAACTGGACATGCATTCTAGGCTTTTCTCTACAAAATCGCCTAGAAACTTGAAAGGATGCTGGCATGGGCTCTACATCCCACATCCTTGAGGCTGAGAAATACCTGGAATCTCCTTTCTGCCTTTCCAATGCTCAAGACTATCTTAAAGATCCAAAGGAGAAGTGATGACAAAGAAAGTTTTGGAAATCTACAGTATTTATTAGGGCATGGCACAAAGAAGTTGGTTTTCTCACATCCCAGACGAGTGCCTTCCTGAAGCATGCTTTCATTTAGAATATTATAAAGTCTAGATAGTCAAATAAAAGAATTAGAAGTCAATAAAGGCATTGTAGAGAAAGAAAATGAGAAGTTATTTTTGCATAGGAGTTTAGATATTGATCAAGGCTATCCTTCAGAGAAATGGCAGAGGAAGGACATACAATTCTTTAGTCCTTGTGTCATACAGACCTGTAAAAGAATTATGAAGAAAACTTCCAGGATTCCCCTTTAGCTTAGGTAAAAATAATCTTTTTGTCAGAGACAGGTGAATTCTATTGATACTGCTAATCTAGAGGCTGGAGGAATCGATTCCTGAATAAGGACACTGAATATATATTGATCGTCAGGCAAGCCTCGCTGTCCACATAAGACCAAGGAGACTGAGCCTAGAGAGTTGAAGTTTAGACAGGGATAAAAAAATGCTGTGTTGTGTATGTAAGAAATAGAAAATGTAGAAAGCAAGGGGAAAAAAGGCTTAGTATCATATATATATTCAGAGAAGGAAAGACAGAATCTTCCTATTTTGAATCATCCATTTATAGACTGTGAAATTTATTAGGTTTATATTTATTAAATGCCTATAAATTTTTCTGGTATATAACTGCCTTAATCTCAAAAGTAGAGATGATAAAAGTAAATAGAATTAATCCTAATATAAAAATTCAAGGGATAAAAATTCATTGTCAATAAGGGGATATTGCATGTATAAAATGAATACCTACCTCATAAAGGAGTTATGATAGAGAATTTTATACATTGTTTGGCACATGTGTGCTCAATAAATGTAAGTTTTCTTTCTTTTTCCCTTCTTGTCCCTTAGCTTTTCATCTCTTTTTAGCTTAAAATCTCCTGAATTTACATATTTTTCTCAATTCTGTTAACATTTGCTTTATGTATTTTGAGAGTCTTTCATTTGGTGAAATATATGTGTTAAAGTTATGTCTTCTTCCTGGACTGAACCCTTAATCACTGTCTAGTGTTCTTTCTTGTCCATTATGCTGACTCTGGACTGAAATGTCTTTTATTAGAAATTAATATTGCTACTCTTGTTCTTTTTAAGAAATAAACAACTCCACCATAATAATAGAACATTTTAACATATCAATTCTGTTGAAGTAGCAGCTCAACAACTCAAATTATTGCTGTTGAGTTGGAACTGACTCACAGCTAGCTGATCTTCCAGTGGATTTTAAGAGGTGTAAACTGCATAGGAAGAGATTTCCCTGGATCTGCTTGTGGATTCATATCACTAGAGATGTTTGGCCTTTGGGTTAGCAGTGCAACTCCTTGCCATCTATACCACCAGAGTTCTCTCAATGAAAAATTATTGTGTGTACTGTCGAATCACTACTGACTCATAATTGACCCTCCAGTGATAAGGTGTGTTGTTGTTAGGTCTCATCAAGTTGAACATTACCCAGAGCAACCCTATGAACAACAGATCTGAAAGCTGTGGCATCCTCACACTTCCTGACATATTAGACCCCATCGCAGCAGTCACCATGTAAATCCACCTGATTGAGGGTCTTCCTTTCTTTGGCCAACCCTCCACCTTTCTGAGCATTGTGTCTTTTTCCAAAGAATAGCCTTCTTCTAGCAACATGCCCGAAATATATGAGGCACATCCTCCCCATCTTTGCCTCCAAAGAGTACTGTGGCTGCACCATTTCCAAAACATAGTTGTTTGTTTTATTGGCCATCCATGAGATGTTCAGTACTCTTCTCTAAAACCACAGCTCAAAGGCATCAATTCTTCTGTCATCCTTATTCATTGTCCAGCTTTCAGTGCATAACATGTGATTGGAAAGATCATGGCCTGAATCAGATGCATCTTAGTCATCAGACTGACATCATTATTCTTCATAAATTTGGAGAGACCCCTAACTGTAGACTCCCAGTGAAATACGTCTCCTGATTTCCTGACTGCTAGTACCAAGCATGTTACTTGTGGAGCCAAGAAAGATGAAGTTGTTGATTAAAGTAACTTACCAGTTTGCTGTGTTTGGGGAAAACATTGTTCTAATTGGTACAGCACTTGTTTGTCAGTTTGCTATATTGAGATAACCTGTGAGTTGCTATGATACTGAAAGCTATGCCACTGGTGTGTCAAATGCCACAAAGGTTACCCATGGTGGACAAATTATAATAGAGCACATTAAGAAAGACTAGGAAACAGGATTGGCATTAAGAGGCCTCTGAAAACCCTATGAACAGTAGAGGAACATGGATGATTATAGTAGTAGTGTTACCCAGATTGGAAGTCAGTCGAAATGAGGAAATATAATTTAATAATTGAAACATGGAATATAGCTTGAATACTGGAAAACTAGAAATTGTAAGAAATGAAATGGAATGTATGAACGTTGACATTCTAGGCATGAGTGAAACGAGATGGACTAACTTTGGCCAATTTGAATCCGTCATAGGTATACTATCTGGGAATGAAAAGCAGAAGAACAATGTTGCATTCATAGTCAAAAAGTCAACTTCAGGTTCTATCCTGAAATATAATATTGTGAGTGATAGGATATTACCCGTATACATACAAGGAAGACCCATTATTATTATTATTATTATTATTAATATAAAGACCCATTAATATTAACTATTATTCAAATATATGCTCCTACATTTAGGGCCAAAGAGGAAGCAATTGAAAATGTTTACCAAATCTTGCATTCGGAAATTGTCTGAGCATGCAAGCAATCATGTGTTAATGATAATTAGTAACTGGAATGCAAAACTTGGAAACAGTGAAGAAGGAATGTTGTGTACTATCGAGTCAGAAATGACCCATTGCAGAGTCATTGTAGTTCACTAGGGTTACTAGTGGCCATGAAGTACATGTGAAAGGACTTGGCTACAATGCCTGAAAGTAGGCAAACAATACCGCAAATGGATGGGACTGAAAGCAGTCTCATACTCCCTGGAGCATGTACCAACATGAAAGGGATCTGGAAGTTCTCTGTTAAACAGAGACTATTTTCTAAATTGCTTGACAAGGTTCTTAGGAGTATAGTAAGACCATGTTTATGAGTATAAAAGTGTTTTCTTGAAAATTGTTCATGCCTATCTATGCTTGGTTTCATATTACCTATGATCAGTTAAACATTTAGCTACCCTATGAGATCATATTTTGCTGTAAGCTTTGATTTTCTGCTAATAAAAGCAGAGGCTTTACCATTTCTCAATGTCATTTGCCTGAGAAAGCAGTGACTCTCTGAAAACCAACATTTCTTCTCGCTGGTCTTTTCTTGACTCCACGAACACAAAAACAACAACGCATAGCTAACCATTTGGCTGATTTGCAGAGCAGATGGTGGATTCGAACCACATGCCTTTGGGATTACAGCACAGCTTCTTGACACTAGGCCACCAGAGCTCCCTGAATAGCTTCACTATTCAGTGAAGAAGGAATAGTAGTTGGAAATATGGACTTGGTGATAAAAATGAGCCTGGAAATAGAATGATCAGATTTTGTTTTTTCACTGATTTATTTATTGAAAATATCCATTTTAAAAGACACAAACTGTGACTTTACACAAGGATCTCACCTGATGGGCTGCATAGGAATCAGATTGACCACATATGGGAAAGGAATGACTGGAGAAGTGCAATATCAGCCATTAAAGCTAGGCCAAGGCAGACTGTGGGTCAGACCATCAGTTACACATGTGCATGTTTAAATTGAGGCCAAAGAAAAAAATAAGCTCATAAGAACCAAGAGATGATCTTCAATCTATTTCATCTGAATTTCAAGATCATCTTAAGAATAGGTTTGACAGGTTTGAAGCATTGAACACAATGATAAAAGATCAAATGAGTTATGAGATGCTCTCAAGGATATCAACTATGAAAGAAAAGGTCGTTATAAAGTCAGGAGAAAGAAAAATTTGAAATGCATGTCAGAAAAGTTATACAGTTTAGAATGACTAAAAAATATGAACAAAGATATATAGAAGTTTCCAGCCACACAATCAACTAAGTTGATCTTATAGACATATACAGACCAGCCTATATACTCCAACCAAAAAAAAGAGTAATACACATTTCTCCCTCTAGTTCTCATGGAACATTCTCCAGAACTGACCATATTGTAGATCACAGAATAAGCCTCAATGAATTTAAAACAAAACAAAAACAAAAACAACCCACAACCTATTTGGAATAATATTTTTAGGTTATAACAACATAAAGTTAGAAATCATCAAGATAACCAAGGGGGGGGGAGGAAATAAAACACTTGGAAATAAAATTATATACTATTGAAAAGCTTCTCCAGCAGTTATTTCCATAGATGTAATTGATCTGATTCCTATGCATACCATCAGGTGAAATCCAGGTATATAACCCACGTTTATGTCTCTTAAAAAACATATTTGCAACAATGAATGAGTGGAAATCCAAAGCCTCTGTAAATTTTTACTGAAATTAATAACAAATTTAAATTAAAAAAAAAAGAATTAAGTTAGAGTAAGGATGGCAATGGATT